CTACTACTACTACTTGTCCTACTACTTGTCCTACTACTCCTACTCCTCCTCCTACGGCTCCTACTACTCCTTCTGCTCCTACTATTCCTACAACTCCTGCTCCTGCTCCTGCTCCTGCTCCTGCTCCTGCTCCTGCTCCTTCTGCTGCTCCTGCTCTTGCTCCTGCTACTGCTACTGCTGCTGCTACTGCTGCCGCTACTGCTACTGCTACTGTTACTGCTACTGCTACTCCTTCTGCTGGTGGTACCGCTACTGTTGCTGCTACTGCTACGGCTACTGCTGCTGCTATTGCTACGGCTACTGCTGGCTGCTCATACTTCTACTACTACGGCGACAGCGACTGCGACTACGACTACGACTACGACTACAACAACACTACCACCACTACGACTACTCGTTCTTTTCAATTTCTATCACCGCGACGGCTACGACGACGACTACGACTACTACCATTCCTACTGCTGTTGCTACTTCTACTCATACCCCCCCCCACTCGCTGCTGCTGCTGCTGGTACCGTTGCACTACCACTACCACTGCACTACCACTGCCACTACCGCTATCACTATCACCATCACACTATCACCATTGCCATCACGATCACCATCACTATCACTATCATGATCACTATCACTACCACCACCTACCACCTACCACCATACCCCCTGTCACTGCCACTGCCGACTGCCACTGACACTGTTGCTGCTGCTGCTGCTGCTATGATCATGAAGACGACGACAACTACTCTTCCTACAATTGTTACTGTTACCATTACCTGCTACGACTTCTACTTACACTACTTCCGTACCTGCCCGAAGGAAGGTGAACTGGCAGACACTCGGCTGGTCCCTTGCGAAGAAGCAGCCGCTCTCTGCCGAAATCTGCAGAGTCAATGCGGAGAAAGGCAGGGCTTGCGCGGTTACCAGGGGCTAGGCTTTCGGCAGCCCCTGCAGAGTTGCGGGGTGTGTGAATACAAGTGCAGCAATGTTGTTTTTGGTGCCATTGATCGTCCTTCCTCCACTTGGGTCGTATACGTCAAAGTTGGTGTAAGTTCACAGGCCCCATGACATTTTTTGTACGTAAGCACGCAGACAGGAGCGAGAAACCCTCCAATGCACGTGGCAGGAACCGACGATGCAGGTCTGAAGGAACAGCGTGACGGAGTCATGCTGCTGCAGAGGTGCCATCTTTTGCGTATTGTGGGTGTGCTTGATCGATTAGATGCTTTTCCAGAATACCTCACCGTTCGCAGGAGCCTTGCGTATCTGATCCCGAAAGTCACAGAGGCCACGGCCACTTCCGTTGCCATAGCCTTCTTGAGGTTCATGCGGGTGGACTCGATCGAATCCTTGAGTTGAAAGTTTTTGCTTGCGCTTGCTTGCTCGCGGAAAGTCGGGGCATTTGAGGCGGAGCGAGTTGCCACCAAACTGGAAAGGTTGACGATCCAAAGTAGAGGGTGCCACCTCTCATAGAGAAGGGAAGGGACATTTGTTGTTTGTTTTGTTTTTCTGTGTTTTCCCACCTGGAGGGCCAGTGTCCATACTGGTTCTTTGATCTCCTTGCAGCGAAGCAGAGTTTTGAAATGTGTTGAGGCACAGTCGCCAAACATCCAGGACACCTGCCACAGAATTTAGGGGCAAGTCAGGCAAAAGCAGCTCCACCCAGCAGCAAGAAGTAGCACGGGCACGAGACAGGAATCAGGATCTCCTGCCGTTATTGAGTCGGGAAAATAAGTGCGAGTCGCGAAGAAGCAGACCGGCCGAGGGGTAATGGACTGAGTCGGGACAGATGTACAATGAGTCGGGAAAGTGGTCGCGGTCCCTCGAGTTGTCTGGTTTCCAGTTCACAAGTGCGTGTGTATTCAGTCACGTTTATAAAAGTATTTTTGTCAAAAGAAAGGGGCGCCAAGGTGAGCAAGGGGAGTCGACTGTGCTTAAATCGGTTGCATGCACAATGGCTCACAATCGGAAATTAGGGGGTGGAACTCGCGCATCCAACAACCGTGTTCCCCACGGCGGCGCACCACCCACCCCCTTCCAAATGAAAGAGCAACATAAAAAGAAAGGTGTGCAGGCGGTGTATATGGTGGAAGCGCATTGCACAACGCACTCTTGCTCGCGCCCAGCCGTGAATGCTGCGAAGCGCACAAAAAGAGGAGCTCTCAGTCCTTAAAACCCGGAGCCCAGGAGTTCTACGCCTGCTTGGGTGAGTGGTGAGGGCCTCAGGACGGCCTCGGGCCTTCTCCTTGTTGCCAGCAGAGCCTTTGTTGCAGAGCTTCACACATATGGAAGGACTTCGATCATTTGGGGCGGGCAGCAACATGGGGCCAGAAGGGCAATGACGTCGTCATGGGCAGAAATCGGATTTCTGAGGTGCAAGAAAACGACGGAAGCCGTCGAGCTTTTCCAGAACTTCCATCACATCTCAAGCGAAACGGCGGTCGGGCGCTGTGTGAGTCTGGTGCGCCGGGTGAGTGTCGATTTCAGCCTTGGGATGACGAGGAGGTTTGACCTGCGCTTCATGTCGCCTTACACATGGCCTGCCTACACCCCCACCACAACCCATATGCGAAGCTCTACATTCTGAACTCCTACACCCGTAGCTCATAAGACGGACAAGCCTGGCAAAACGCCTGTTGGCCAAACTGGAAGTCGCCAAGCTATTCCCGCTCCAAAGCCCAGATGCCCTAAGTTTAGTCCCCAAACTCTACATCCCCAAACCCCCAAAACCCGATGCCAATCCCTACAACTCCTAAAGGTTAAGCCCGTGCTCGAACCGAAACCCTTGGTCCTGAAACCTCGGCATTTCATGCTACACCCAGAATCAAAACTCGAAGCCTTCCACTGTGATCGCTGAACCCTCGTTGTGCGCCCTAGCGACGTTGTTGAGCAGCCCATCACGATGGGTGAGCCGCAGCCGAGGTAGTGGATTCGAAGATGTGGGACAAACTGTCCGACGAGGTCAAGATGAAAGATGAGAAGGAGGGCAGATTACAGGTTCAGCCTACTTGTTGTTAGGCCTGTGCTTAAGCATGATGAATTTAGTAGCCGGGAGAGTATGCCAGCGTGTCATTTGGGCATTGCTTTAAACACCCATTTCTTTCATGCTCGTCCAGGGCCGGATTTTGGTATCTGTAGTGCCGAGTGGCAGAAGTCGTCCCGATGTAGACTGCATCCCGAATCAGGCACCCAGTTCACAGGATGTTCCTAGAAGCTTGCAGCATCGCAAGGAAGCAAAGAAGAGGGAAGACCGGCGGAAAGATCAGAAGAATCGCGAGCAGGACTCACACCTTTCCTCCTTTGCGAAATCCTTGGCGGACTTGGCCTAGTTGGAGGTTTCCCGTCTTTCAAGAGGATCACAATTTGAGGTTCGGGGGCCAGACACTCTCTCTCTCTCTCTCTATCTCTCTCTCTCTCTCTCGGCCTGTTTTTTGCTTGTCTATGCTCTTCGGAGAATCTAAAGGATTGACAAGTACATGTCAGATTTGCATATGGAATCATGCATACATCCATATGCCGTAGATGTGCATACTTCATATCTGTGTAGGATATCCGACGTACATCGCCCGCCTACGTACATCTCCCTAAAACAGCAACATTAGGTCCCTGCCCTATACTTGCGTGTCCTTTGGAGGAGAAGCTGCAGCGAAAGGAGCATCGGAACCTCGAAAGCTCCAACATGCCGGGAACTCAAGTATCTGTATAGCTATATAACGGCATATACGACACATAACATGACATATCATGTTACGCCACACAAATGTATATGTACACAGTACACATGCCCTTCTCCGGGCATTTCTGCTCAGTTTCAGCTCAGATTGATGTTGGTGCGGCTGAATCATGAAAGCCCTCTGTTGCATGGTTCTCGGATTTAGCAGACAATATGCATGCGCACATGCTCGACACAATTGAGCGTGTTTCTCTGTGTCTGACCTCATGTGTGCGCTGTACATTTTCCTCAGTCTGTATGCACTCGTATCTGTATGTTGTATCTATACTTACATGCATGTACGAGTAAGATCACTCGCATAGCTGCGCACGCAAGAATGACCAAACTGCATGCATGCCCCCTATCCTTAACCTTATGCACGCATGCATGCATGTATGCATGTATCACATGTCTGTGTTTGTCATGCGAGTTATGGTATCACATGTTGCATACCATTTGAACTCGTTCGTGGTCCATCTAACCCCAGCAAGTGGCAATTACATGGCCATGGTGCTCGATCAAGACGAATTCTACATAGTTGATGATAGTGTTTCGTGGCGGGTCTGTGGTCTCGATGAATTTAAGGATAGTTGTTTGAACTCGTACTCGTTTTCTAGCATCGAACCGAATTTTGAACAGGCCTTTGGCCTCGCGTATGGGGTGTTGGCACCGGAGGCTAGGAGTAGCTGGGATGTGACAATCGGTCACAGCCAGAAGCCGGGGCCCGATATCACCCGCAGAGATCACGGACTTTGCAGTGCGGAAGTGAGGTATGCTTGTACGCATGTATGTATGTATGTATGTATGCATGCATGCATGTATGTATGTATGTATGTATGTATGTATGTATGTATGTATGTGTGTGTGTGTGCGTGTGCATGTATGTATTATGTATGTGTGTGTATGTATGTATGCATGTATGTATGCATGTATGTATGTATGTATGTATGTATGTATGTATGTATGTATGTATGTATGTATGTGTGCGTGTGTGTGCGTGTGCATGTATGTATTATGTATGTGTGTGTATGTATGTATGCATGTATGTATGTTTGTATGTATGTACGTACGTACGTACGTATGTATGTGTGTATGTATGTATGCATGCATGTGTGTGTATGTATGTATGTATGTATGTATGTTTGTGCGTATGTATGTACGTATGTATGTATGTATGTATGTATGTATGTGTGTATGTATCCATGCCAAAGTTGTTAGACAGATTCGTGTAGAGTGTGGTGGGAAATGTACAACATCTGTGATCATCTGTGCAGCTTAATTTTAAACGCTTCGCGACGTCTGCAAGCAGGTGCAGTGTTTCGGAAAGCAAGAGGTAGGTCACACAGGCGAAGTCGTCAGTGAATGACTGCGCATGCTTCAGAATATTCTTTGATGTGAGTATTTGTATTAACGCTGAGGTTCTGAGCAATCCCAAGCGAAAGGTGGCACATTGCCTGCACGCAATAGCGCATAGACGTCATGGCCGGATTTCAAAGTGTTGGGAAATGAACGGGGGAACTTTGCAACAAAGTACAAGACACAGCCTTTGAGTTGCCGTGCTGTGGCATCGAAATGATGCAAGCTAGCCCGTCTTGGCCTGGCCGTAAGCAAAAGACAGGGAAAGGGATGGGCAAAGAAAGAAAGAAGCGGGGCCGGATAGGGGGGCCTGGGACGGGGGTGGGGTAGGGGGGGCGGGGAGATATGCTTGCATGCGATGGGTGGAAGTGCGCACGAGATGCGGAAGGGTCCGAGACTCTGTCGAGGTACAAGAACATGATGGATGCCTGCCAGATCAACCTCGGCAGCGTGTCCGGCAATGCCCTCGGTAGGCTTATCGGACTCCCTTGTGAACAGAATTGAGTGCAGGCTGTGCAGGCTTGACAGAGGTTGAAACGGCTGAGGATGTCAACTTGTTGGGCTGTCTCTTTGGCTTCAGCGTAGCTTGCTGTGGAGCTACATATGCTCCGGAAAGCAGCATTGTGGCAACGTGCGCCTCATGGCTTCCCCAGCCCCACCGGACGCGGAGAGCCCAGCGAAGAGTAGCAAGAGCAAGAAGGAGGCTGAGCAGGAGAAACGTTTGGCAGAGGCCAAGAAGCACGTCAAGGAGCTGGAGTCCCAGGTGCTTTGCCTTCCTGTCACAGACCCCCTTGTTTTTGGTGATCCCTTCGGGCTTTCCTGTATCTTAGCCGCCTTAGCCTCCTTGTCCGAAGGTGGTGATCAAGAGCCCTGAAGAGCTCAAGGCTTCCGCCAAAGACTTCAGGGACCAGAATGCTTGCACGCTCTACGACGAGACAACGAAAAAGTACAAGTACAGGTCTTGCTGTGGAACGAAGGTCTCCGACCTGGGTGTCTACGGGGTCGGAGTGGCGCTTTACTTCCAGTTCATTCGGCAGATGGGCGTTGTTTTCCTTCTGTGTGCCATTGTCTTGGGCCCAAATCTGGCCTTCAACATAATGGGTAACATGGTGAACGAGAACAGTGCCCTCTACAAATACCTGGGAATGACCACGATCGGAAACCTGGGTGCCTGCGAGGGCGCCCTTTGCGAGACGGATGAGGACTTGCGCAACCGCTGCCTCATCGACGAGTTTCCTTGCGAGACGACGCTGAAGGCGGTCAGCGGTAAGAAAGAGACATATCAAGAAGGGAACACCGTAAAGTGGGACCCTACAGCAGGACTGTTTTGTACATCTGGAGAACTGGCATGCCTTTCAAGAGGTCCCGTCCCCAGGCAACCATGGCTCCGAAAACCTCTCCTGATTCTTTGTCTAACGCCCCCAACCCACCACCCGAAACAGTTTTCACTCTCTCGACCTCGTTTTCTGTTCCCTTGCTCTCCTGGCTCTCCCTCCTTCTCCGACTTTCCCTTCCTCGGGCTTTCTCACTTCTGCTTGTTCCACTTCTCCCAATTTCTATCCTGCCAGCTCACTCTCTCCTTGCGTTACGTATCGCTTCTCAACAGGAAGTTTCGCAGTGGCTCGGCATGGCTGCAGCTTGGTCCCGTCGTTAAGGTTCAGGGCTTCGGGTTGAGAGTCAGGCTTCTGAAGCTTCATATTCGTCGGGCGGAAGCACCATGGCATATGATAGGCAGCTATTCGACATAGGTGTCTACATACATGCATACACACACACACACATACATATACACACATACACAAACACAGACGGCCGCAGACACATACACCTACATAGTATGCACATATACCTGTACAACTGCGTATATATATATATATATGTATTCACAGTCATACAAATACATCTGCATATGCGTATGGTTATGCACAGGCATATGTATGCATACACATAGATCAGCACCTACAAATTGTCATACAGACATGCCTATGAATACAGATGCATACATGCGCATACATATACACACAAAAACGTGCGTATGCACACAAGATACATATACATATACATACATACGTACATGCATACATACATGCATACATACTTACATGCGTACACACATACATGCATGCATACATACATACCTACATAAAACATAACATACATAGATGCATACATACATAAATACATGCATATATACATACATACGTAGACGTACGTCTACGTACATATACGTGTAAGTACATGCATATGCTGTTACATACATATATGTACACATACATACATACATACATACATACATACATACATACATACATACACACATACATACACACATGTACATACAAATACCTTTACCGGCACAAATATGCCTATACATAAGCGTACGTACATACATACATACATACATACATACATACAGTTATATTCATGTATATGCATATATATATATATACCTA